ATTTTCAGGAACAAAACACAGTAAAAAACTAATTATTGAGTAAATAATTAGCATTAATAAAAATAATCATTAATAACAAATATTTAATTAAATTTTACGTATTATATACTTAGAATTATAACCAATCGGAAAAAAATCAAGGGCTTTGGGGGGGGACCCACAGGACCAACCCCAGGACCAACCCCTTGTGTGCGCCACTGAATTGGGCTCTTTTACTGCTTTTGAATTGTAATATTTTCGCTGATTCTGAACAAATTTTTTTAATGGAAAAGGATTTAATACAGGAATAGCTAGCTTAACCAAATAAAATATTTAAATGTATAGGAAAATACAGGTAAATTTTTGAATAAATAATTATAAGAAAAAACTAATTATAAAAAAGAGAACAGGAAGCAATTTTTAGTAGACATTATTAGTTTTTTAATTAATAGAGGCAGAAGATCTCGAATACTCACAACCGCTTAAGCGAAGAGCCATCCGTGGCTCTTCACAGCAGCAGTTTAACGTCCCCTGATGTAAGGTTCTTAATGGGAAAGTAGTACTTTTGGCAGCAACTTGAAGACTGCTAAAAAATGAAATCTTAGGTTATAATAAATTAAAAATGGTAAAAGGGCCTTATATAGAGGTTATTAAATAAAAAAAAATCTATAACATTGAGTTTAGAAAAGAATTTTTTTTTTTTTATTCTTTTATACAATTTCAAAATAAATAAATCTATGTGTGAATCCATGGGGAAGAAAATGAGGAAATTTGATCCTCTTAAGAGCATGAACCATTGTAGATCTAAAAAAGAAATAGTGCGCCATAAAAAGGAAACATTTAGAATATTAAGGCAAAAACGCGTACTCTGAAAAATATACTGAAAGAATAATTTTTTACGTAGACGTAATGCATAAAAACAAAGCATCTTTAGCAAAAAGTTTCGTTTTAAATAATAACGAAATTAATAAAAATATTTTTTAATGAATTGAAAAACATAAATAATTAAATTGACGTTTTAAATCTCGAAAATATTTAAACGTGAACAGAGGTTTACTTTGCAATAAGTATTTTAATATATCAAATATAAAGATCTTTCTGAGACTCTTTTAACACTGAAGTTTAAAATTGGGAGGTCCTCCCTTTAATCTGGTGTGGAAGTTAGGAGGGGCAGCTCAGGTGTTATCCCCGTCACTTGACCATGGCCACATATACATGACAGATATTTCACGCGGGCCACAACATGCGGATAGTGGAAAAAGCAGACTATAAGAACAAAACAACATTGACAAACAAAATTGATCAACATATTAAAACTCATTTTTGGCTTTTATTTCAATGCTAAATTGACTTTTCTATCGAACACACACACAATTATTTTTATGATTTTTTACTGTGAGTTATGGAATAATTTCTATTTTCTTTCATCTATTACCAAGCCTCTTGGTTACATTCTACTATTAAAAAAAAAAACGATTCATAGCAAAATTGATACATTTGATTACTTGATTGATAGAATTTCCTGTTACATTTTTTGTACATTGTTCTCCAATAATTGAACAGTACCACTAAAGACCCGCTGTGTAGGGTAGCGATGCACGTTAAATATGTCGAGAGCTCAAACGTACTCCCGTTGGTGTGGTGTGGTGTCGTCCACGTCACTTGACCATGGTTCAAAATGACGAGGTCCGTCGCAAACAGCCCTCGAGTAGCTGAAAAGTGCGATGTTAATACTCACACAATCACTCGAAATTGGGAGGTGATCGTGTGAGCCATAGTCGTGAACACTAGGCTGGTGTGAGAGTTAGAGAGTAGGGTGCCAATTCAATCGTCGTCCTTGTCACTTGGCTAAGGTTCAAAATGGCAAGGGCCGTTGCCGTTTCACACAGACAGTCAGCATCAAGCGTTGAGCGTCTTGCCAATCAGCAACTTCATTTCGGGCGAGATGAAGTCTCTGATTGGCTAGACGCTGAACACTCGACGCTGACAGCCTTGGTGTGAATGCAGCTTTAGCCTTCATGTTGCATTTGAGTGTGCGATGTTAACAAAAATCGGACCCAATCAAAGCGGTGTATCTGGCTTCAAAAAGGGTAAGCGATGTGAATTTTTGAGTTCACAGGATTTAAATAGCGGAGCGCGCCATACGATATCTCTCTGGAATAGGGTTTGCAATTCCGCGTTATATTTTCATTCCCGGGGGATTACATTATATCAAAATCCTGGGATCCCGAGATCAGGATTGGACTATTTATGAAAAATGCTTACACACGCATAAGCATTGTTGAAATTACATAATATAACTAAAACAGATTAAAACATTGGTTTTCATATTATTTACTGAAACAAATAAAAACAAAAGTTAATTCATCATAAAAACAAATAAAAAATAGTTCATATTTTGAAATTAAAAAAAAAACATTTCTTCAGTTCTTGTGTTTGTGTTAATAAACTTAAAAATACCGTTCGGCTAGCGTTTCATCGTTTAAATAGCTTCTTATTTTTTGTTACAAATTGTCCAGCTGAAAAATGCTCATTTAGACTCTACATTAGTAGGTTTCATCGTCATTAAATAGGAGTATGTTCTTTTCAGGTAGTCCCCCGTCTCCTCCATTTTCAAAAAAGAGACATTTCTTTTTGAATTTTTGATGACATTTTGCTGCTTGTCAAATCTAATAAGAAACTGTTTTCATTGTGGTGGTCACGTAAAACAAAATTTTTCTTTTTGATAAAACCTTATTTCCCCTATTTTCTTCTGGCGCAACACCCATGAGTAGGTTTTGTAGTATAAATTGACCAGTTATTGAATGCCGAAAAGGGTGTGAATCAGTAAATCAATGGTTGAACTATTTATAAATAGAAAATGAAGGGTTGAATCGAGCTAGCTAGCGGAACAGCAGTGGAATTTGGAAGTGGCCACCATGCCCCGTGATCCACTATTAATTTACGGTATTTAATTGAATGAGTGAGAGAGTGAGTGAGTGAATATTAACGTCGCACTGTTAAGCAACACGAGGGCTTTTGGCGACGGACCACATCATTTTGAACCATGGTCAAGTGACGTGGACGACACCTGAGCTGGCACCCTCTCCTAACTACCACACCCAACGGGAGAACGTTTGACTCGACAGATTTAACGTGCATCGCTCCCTACACGGCGGGCTTAGTGGGCTCGAACTTGTGACATGCCAGCCACTAGGCTACCGCGGCCATGGCATTTAATTGAAAAAGGAACGGTGACAAAATATATTCCAGAGACGTTGCTTATACCACTATGTAAGTATTGCAGTAAGCCACTTAGTGCAATGTTTTTCCATACAAGAAGTGAGAGCAGGTATATAATTTTTTACTTATAGCACTCCTAATTGCACAAAAAAAAATTCCACGTACATGTTTCATAAAAAAACATATATAAATATATATCTTGGAAATTAAATTCTTGGAAAATTTTGATGAGAACAAAATTTCAAAATGTTATTCAGACAAAAATTAAATCCCGGGAATAGCTATTCTAATCCTGGAATTCCGGGATTTAAAGAAACAGCGGGATCCCGGGGCTTCAAACTCTACTCTGGAATGAACCTTTCTCAATTTCTTTGAAATCTATAATATAAAACTTTAAGAACAACTTTTTTTAATCGCCTAAACTGGCTTTGGAATTATTGCAAATAGAAATGAACAGATAAAAAAAAACAGTAAAGAGAGAGGAAGAGAGAGAGAGACCAAGGAGTTGAAATCAGTGTATTTAGACTAGCAATTTTTCTCAGACCTCCCCGGTTTTACTTAACAATAACCTTGTCAACCAATGGTAACGAAAAGAGAAACGTGTTTTAAGAAGTTTTGTTTGTTTTTTAAAAGTTCTATTTTTGAACATGAATAACTGCTAATTCAGCACACCGGCTCGTTTCTTTCTACACCCCCTCCCCAGTTATGCAGAAGAATAACATTATTTGTTTTGAAAGAATATCTTAAATATTTCTAGGAATGAGCTTCCAAGCTACTATTTTACAAAAAGACGCGGAAAGGCCAAAAAGTAAATATTCAGGGGGGGGATGGCTGTTGTTAATAGTCACTCAAGCATAAAATTGAGAATCGGGAAAAGTTAAAGAGCAGTTTATGGGGTGTTAAATTCGAAGAAATCTAAAAAAGAAATTATGAATTTTTTCATGCGTGCGTCGTACAACGCTTCTATTTTGAATTTTAAGTTCATTTTTTTTCTCTTAAACTGTTAAAATCACATTAAGGTCAGTGTATAAGGCTTGGTGAAAATATTTGATTAGTATAATTTAGTCCAGAGAAAGAGAGAGCCAGAAAAGCCAAACACTCATGGGAGGTAGAGTGAGAACAACAGTCCCCTCCCCCTTGAACTTCTGTTGTTGTTGTTGTTGTTACTGATGCCACCTGATCGGCAAAGGCCAAATCGAGGCCCACGAAATTCATCATGGAAAGGGCTAAGTGACGCCTGTCGTTAGCCGTAGCTTTGAGCACCATACAGGTGAAAGAAGCCTCAGTATGAAGTTACAAAATAATAATTAACACTAGTAGAAATCATATTACAACAAAATAAATTCACAAGCTTACTTCCAGATTAGAGACTACCTAATCCCAATTTAAACATAAGGCTCAGCTTTAAGTTGAGTTTAAAATTTTTCCTTTTTCTACGTCGCTTTCCCCACTTTTTAAATTTGAGATAACATATTTTTTCTGGGATTTCTTATTTTATAGAATTTTCATCTTCATTATATTTCTGATTTTTCACACAATTCCTACTATTAGTTCACTCTCTTCCTATATATATATATATATATATATATATATATATATATATATATATATATATATATATATATATATATATCTTGTTCAAATTTTTTTTTCAATCGTTAATAAAATACTTTCTATTTATCCATTTAAGTTCAAATACATTTTTTCAAATATTAATTCATTAATTAAATTAAAAATGAATAAATAGTAACACATATAATAGTCTAACAGCATATACAGAAAGGAAAATCGTTCTTTGTGTCCTTGTAGCAAAATCGATAATGCATTGGACTTCTCATCCAAAGATCGTGGGTTCGAATCCCACCTGGGATGGTCTAATTTCTGAGAATGGGATTTCTCTTTCACTATACTATTTTATTATAATAATTAAATTTAATTAATCAAAATAAATAGTAACAAAAAATAGTCCAACACCATCGATGATTGTATGAAAAAGAAAATAGCTATTCAGCTTTTGAAATCCAGTTCTTTTTTATAAAACTGTGATACATATCGAAATAGTAGGGTTTGAGTTAGGAGCGATGTGTGTCCGGTAGATAGAACCCGCGACCTGTGGATTCCAAGCCGGCAACATACTACTAGACCAATGGCACGCAACCTTTTATTCTGCTAGGCCGCATACATATGTCAGCTATTTCACGCGGGCCACATACATATGTTAGTTAATGCACGTGGGCCGCAACAGGAGGATAAGGGGATTGGAGGGGGGAAGAAATGCTTTCAGACCAAGATAACATTAGAAATTTAAAATGTGGAAAATCGACCAAAATATTATAACTCCTCTGTTTTGATTTTTTTAATTATTATTTTTCGTATTTTTGTTTTTGTCGCTAACACTAAATTAGAGAAGCATTTAAGAAACACTCCTTCATAATTTCTGTATCAGTAAACGGTTTCATATGGTTACCAATAATATAACAAACTTCATAGGATGTCTTTGTTACCGCTGTGATATCACCACTGACAAAACACTTTGTTGCTGTTGCAAAGATTATTCAAGAAAGCCTATTTATCACCTCTTGAAAGACATCTTCGAGGAAAAGTGTCATTGAATGATTCCTGTTCAGTAGCACACACAGGAATTTTTCAAGGGGGTCTTGTATCATGCTTCTTTTAATTTTGTCGATTTTCGGAAACGAAACACAGTAAAAACTAATTATTAAATAAATAATTAGCATTAATTAATAAAATTAATCATTATTAACAAATACTTAATTAAATTTTACGTACTATATACTTAGAATTATAATCAATCGGAAAAAAATCAAGGGCTTTGAAGGGGGTCCGGACCCACAGGACCCCTCCCCCAACCTTGTGTGCGCCACTGTTCCTGTTTATTGATATTTTTTCAATACAGCACTTTCGTGACAATTCAAACAATTACTGATCCATAATTATTTTTCACTACAAAATAGTCAACCTCCCAATCGTCTAGAAGCGATATATTTTCTTCGAATATTTTTCTTTTGCAAGATATGAAAGATAGTTAAGAATTAGTTCCACCCATAAAATGGTCACTACTCCACTGTTGTCTGTTATCACTAACCGTAACAAATAGAAAATCAATTTGTACCATTACGACACCAACAGCAAAAAGCAAAATTGATATATTTGATTTCTTGACAAACAATTTCCCACCCAATTTTTAATGCAATGTTTTTAAATAAGTAAATTTCTCAGAGTAATGGGCCATGACCGGAACACGTAAAAAGGCTCGGTGGGCCGCATGCGTCCCGCGGGGTGCATGTTCAGTATCGCTGCACTAGACAAAAGGGATCACCCATGTCCGGAGGCTGTTACTGGCTTAAGCAGATACCTCTACATGATCTCCGAGGCACTCCAATGATTTTTAGTTTCTCTCATTTGGTTTACTGTCTCTAGTAATCATGAGTGACGCATTCCTGGGATAGCCTAATATTTTTGCTTTACTTCGGGGAGGGTAGAACTAATTTGATGGTTAATCCACCTTTCCCTTCTTGTGTATAGTATTTAGAGAAATCTCCTGTAATGTAGAAGATGTTCTGAATTCATTATTATTAAAAGGTTACCAATAAGAAAGTGCTTAGACCGCTGCTCGAATCAAAGATTAACCCACAAAATATAAGCACAAATTTTGAAAAGGAAAGGCCTATTCATAGCAAACTTTTTAATTCTAAAAGATTGTTAAAATATTCTTAAGTAAAACTAAAACTATATTTTTATGATGTTAAGATCCTTTTCATATTTTCTATAGTATAATAACAATAAATAATAATAATATGTCTTAATTATATTCTATATTAAGTATAATTTTGCCATCTGTGATTTGTTAGGGGAGGTTTTAAAATGAAGGAAATTTTCAGACAACTTCGAATGAACGGTTTGTTCGTATTGATAACAACATTCTATAATTATCAAATATATACATAAATACATAGATGATTTTAAGTTCAATATTATTTAAGAACTTCATTGGGTAAGTAATATACATATTCAATATTTAGAAATATTGTTATTAATTACTCTAGTTTCAAAAAGTTTAGAAAAAATAAAACAAAATTATAAAAATCTTATTAAGAGTTAAGTAAGTTTAGATAACCAATTAATTTTAATAATAGTTATTTGTGTAAGGAAATGCTAATTGTATAAATTAAATTCTTATTTGAAGATTAATAGTTTGTTATTAAAGAGTATATTGTAAATATTCCTATTTCTAAGTTAAATCTAAAATTATTTAATACAAATATTTATACTTATTGCAATGTTACAATTCAGCCAGCAATATTATGCTTTGAGTCAGAATTTGGATCCAACAACATCTGGCAACAACATTTATTGTACTTAGATTCATCGTCGTCTAAACGTTTTTTAATGCAATTTTAGGTAAGTTACCTTTTTCTTGTAATGGATTTAGAAATTTTACACATTATTTTCAATAAGATTTCGTTCAGAATTGTAAGCAGATTAAATCCCTCTTTCATATAAAATATTTTTATATGTTAAGAGTTGTTATAAATCAGCAAAGTTTATAATACTTCTGCATCCATATATCATTTAAGTTCCAATATCTTTGTTCACTCATTTCTGCTTCTATGATAGAGATTTATAAAACTGTCAGTAGCACACACAGTAATTTTTCAAGAGGGGGAGGGGAGAGGTCCAAGGTTGAAAGTCCATCACTCTCGTATCATGCTTTAACACAGAGGTCGCCAAAGTGGTGGTCCACGGACCACTAGTGGTCCGCGAGAAAATTTCGCTGGTCCCTATGCAAATTTGGAATATACTTACTCTTCATGTTAAGTTATGCTTTAAGATGCACTGAAACATAATTCGATTCTCATAATACGTAAAAAGTTATAAAAACGATATTTCATAGAATAATGCGACGGTAAATAAGACGTACTGATGTAGCTGCATTGTTTTAGTTACATGTTTTGTCTCGTCTCGTACTCTTCTAATATTTCACTCTTCTGTTTGTCACATATGTATATCATTTGAAGCATTTAAAGGTGGACGTACGGATGCATTGAATTCAATATAAGATATATTCAATATATATTCGATCTCAGCTTGAAATAAATGCAGCTCTTTCCGTCTTGTAGTAACAACGTTGGATCCAAATATCCATAACCTTATTTCAAATAAGCAGGAACATCCATCACACACTAGGAATGTGTAATGCTAAAAAATTTGATATAATTAAACCATTTTTTAATTGTTTTGTTTTTACAGTTTTTGTTTATTTTTTTAATGGTTTATTAATAAAGCTTTTTCATAATTTTTTTACAAATAATAGTTTAATTTTATTAAGTAGGTACATTTTATGAATTCTTACATCACATTTTTTTTTCTTATAAATATATTTAACACTTAAAAAAGCCTATTAATGGTCCGAGGAATTTAAATTATGAATTTACTGGTCCGTGAGATCAAAAAGTTTGGCGACCACTGCTCTAACACGCCGCCCAACATATTTTTTAATTTTGTCCGTTTTCGGGAAGAACAGTAAAAAATTAATTATTTAATAAATAATTAGCATTAATTAGTAAAATTAATTTTTTTTGTAATAAAAAAAATTTACGTTCTATACACATAGAATTATAATCACTAGAAAAAAAAAATCAAAGTCTTTGAGGGGTCCGGATCCGGGAACCCCCCACCCCCCTCACTTGTGTGCGCCACAGAAAACTGTATATAAATAGACCCAATTCTTTTTTTACACGGTAAATACGGGCAAAGAAAGAAGGGAAAAAAATCGTGCAAAAAACACATGCGACAAATAGAAAATTTGAGGGAATGTGTAAGTATAAGTATAACCTTCCCATACCTGTTCATGTGATAGAATAATTTGTTTTTACTTGTATCGCAATATAAATTTCAAATTTTTTTCGTATAAATAGTTAATTAAAATGCTACGATATCATTTAGTGAAAAATTAAATTGATAATAACTCGTATATTATACTTTTCTTTCTTAATTCTTCAGTCTAAAAGTGGGGTTTGCCACACGTTTACCTTGGACATTTTTTTTTTCAAAAGTATAATATGTTTAACACGCCATGTCTCACTTTTTTTTATTTTAAATAAACTAATAAAATTTACGCAATACGTGTCGTATGTCAGATTCAAAAGATGATAATCCCTGATCAAGTTTGGGCTAAGTGTCAATGTTACACGACAAACTTCTCATATTTCAAACACACACACCAAAAAGGAGAAAAAATGAGATAGGTTTTTAAAAGATACCGCGTAGGTCGGTAAGCAATGACACTCCGCACCCAATCCAAATTCGATAAAGAATTGTCCCAACTTTCATTAGGCGCTCCACCTTTCTTCCCTTTGCGAAGCGGAAAATCTTTTTCCCTGCAAGTGAGTGTATTTTCCCCACGAAAATCCCTTCAAGGTAGGTGGCGGCCACTTCTTAGCGGTGGCCCCTGCACACACGTCGTAAGTGGCTATGATAGATGACAGGTACCCAACCCTCCAGTTCTTCGGCCATTTTGGGTGCAGCGTTTCGGTGTCTGGGGAAGGGTGGGGGAGCTGCCCCGTAGCGTGATAGTGTGTAAATGTCGTTTGGCTTTGTTTTGGTTAGAGGCAGTGTTTTTTATAATGAAAAATGAAAGAAATTGTATCGGATTTGGAAGGTGTTCGTTAATTGATTGTGAAATATTTTGTAACTTTATATATATTTGTAACGATATTTAAAGAGAATTATTTTAGTGCTGGATGTGATTGAGGAAATAATTGGTATTAAGCCATTTGATTATTTGCTTTTGCTCTGAATATCTTAAATAAATTAATTTATTTAATTATTTTATATAACTATTTTTTTTT